CATACACTGTGGTCTGTGTGCAGCTGGGTTAACAGGGCAGGCTGAAGTTAGCTTCCTGTTTGCCAGCTTCTTGCTCAAATTTACCGTTCCACTTTTGCAGTAGTTACATTCTGGCGCCCGAGGCGTTATAATAAAATGCTGGACCATTTAAGGTGGAATGGAAAAAATTTGACCAAGAAGCTGGCAAATAGACTGAGGTGCTAAAATGCAACTGCTGCACCATTTAAGGTGAAATAGGCAAACGCAAATAAGAAGCTGACTTCAGCTTCTTCAAGGCAGTGAGTATTTTTGGAGCAGTGGGCTTTTGTTTTTGGGATAACAGGCATGGCATTGGCTACCGTACATAGCCAGCCATACATCTAACTAACATTGACAGAGTTTTTAAAACTCCACATGAGCTAGTTTATAATTTGCACTTCTAGAAGGCCTAGGCCTATTGTACACATTTTAACAGGCTATGTGCTGTGTTTACCACAGCTGTATGGTTCTCGATGGAGCTTCTAGCCAGTGAGGACTAGATATTGTTGCCATCAAGTCTCTCAGCTCATGCAGCTAGGTGGTGAGGAACTGCAGCGCCTAGCTCTGAAAACTACAACCTTCCTGGTTTCCACAAGTTTATGATAGCCTACATATTATGACGCACCAATGGCACAAATGGTGCCAATGCAAATTATACAAAAGTCTAACCTTGTATTGTACCGAGCCAGGTGGCAAAATATCTGTGCACTGAACCTCTGCTATCTTATGCTCAAGGATAAAATAATACCTCTTGTCATTGGTGTTAATTTTAGGTAGCTTGGCTGGCTAAAGCAAATAATGTTAACATTAACTAAGTCATGATAAATCACAATGAGCTGAAGTTAAATCATGTTGTTAAGATATATCATTATACTTGTTTTAATATATCTCAAGTGAAAAGGCTAGTTCATCCTAGTGGGACAAATGACTTGGATTTAGCTTGCGCTAATACATTAGGTTTTGTTGATTTTTTTTTATTTTTACTGAGAGTTGGATTGTGAGCACCAACTGCAGCAGAATGCAATACTGAAGCACTGGATCTATTCTAGTAATTTATTCTAATTTAAATAGGTTAAAGCCACATGTGAATAGAGATATGGAAATTGTGAGGTAACCTTGTAATCTTTACAATGAACAATTCTTGAGCTTTTCTCTCGTCAGTAATATTATCTGGTTCCGTTTCAACAGGCTTAATAGGCCCTATAAGGTGTAAAATGCAACAATGTGACTTTCTTTGTCCTGAAATCCTGAAACATTGCAACTAGCATTAAAAGCTCTGTACTTTGACTGCAGGTCACAGAGGCAAAGTGGTGCTACAATACTCAGAGTTGGAAGACTTCCCTGAGCGACGGTGAACAGTGGAGAGGTGACAGGATCTGGCTTGCGACGGGCTGCAAACTAGATGTTAACCATGATCCCTTACTCTCTGATGTCATAAGGGAGTTCCCTATTCAGGTGTGGCTAGGCTAGCCAGTGTTTTTACTTCAAGTATTTTATACATAAATGGTAAAAAAAAATGGTCTCTGCAACTGTTTCACTAGTGGAAGCTTTGCTTTTAAGAGTTTCAGTCATCTTTCATTGTGAAACAAGATAATATGTATATTGGATCAACGTCTTGTGACTTAGTGAAGAAAATCCATGTCATCTTCTCCCAGGTGCTTGAGGGCTGGCCATGTATATCAGAGTCTCTAGAGTGGGCTCCTGGATGCCCGCTTTACTTGATGGGACAGTACACAGCACTTCAGGTGATGGGTTTTTTTAAGCTGATAACTGTGTAATAAGAGAACTGTGCTCCCTTTACAAGAATATTTCAAATGATCTCTGGCCTTCGGTAATAATTTTCAGTAGTAATTCATTTAATTTAATTCAGTTAAACAGCCATGCAATTGCACAGGTACTTCCCTGATGTGAACAACACAAACAGCTCTGCCACCTCTGCTCTCCACTCACCATCTCCTGAACAAGAGAGCTTCACTAAAACTGCTACAGGCAGATCTTTGAATATTAAGCTTCATCAAGAGCTAATGGCAGATTTCTCAATAGTGCTATGTGCAGAGTATCCTATCATGGCAAATCATGCTGTTAAGACATTCCTGCTTTGTAGAAGCATCCCTGTCAAAACAGTGATGACTTTATCTGTATTTATGAATCTGCTTTTACACATGGCATGCATACATGTGTTTGCAATTTTTCTAACATCCATCACATGGCATACCTGTGCCCCAATAGTTAGTTGTTTTTTAATATTATAACAAGGCTGTGTTGGAGAAGACGCTGTACTCTGCTCTCTTCTGAATGTTTAGGAGAAAGTAATAATAGATAATTAATTTATCATGTGCTGTTGTGTGCTTTAATTGTGTGTTAGTTGGCTATCCAAGATAGTTTCACATTCACATACGTGTTTCAGTTTGCTGTTGTGGTGAGTTAGGAGGTCGTTGCCTGCTCTGATAGCCGTTAGCGTTTTGGTTTCATGTTTACAGCACTGTTTCGCATTGTAGTGCTGTTAAAAACTGAACAGATGATCTTAATTTGCTGTAGGTAAACTGTGGCATGTTTTCATGAATATTTTGTTATTTGCTGTTCATTTTACAGTAGACTCTCTCACACATGCATATATGTCCTTATGTGTCCACTTCTCTGTCACCCTGTGCTGCCACCAGCACACCAGAATGAACCACACCTGTTACACAGAAACACTCTTAACATTATTTATTCAGGATTGCTTATTTTTAGGTCAACATTGACAAGAAATGTCTGTTGTATCTGGTGTGTTGTGTCATTGCATTATTAGCATGTTAGATATATTAAGGGGGATTGATATTACAGGAAGTTTAGTGTCTGAGAACATACACGACCGTAAAAAGTTTAGAAACCACTGATCTATATGTTTTAACCTACACACAAGTAACAAAATTCTTTTTGTCTCATGTCTAGGTTGGTCCACATGCTGTGAACCTTGCAGGAGGACAGGCTGCAGGTTTACGCATTGCCAAGGATATCATAGGCCAACACAGCAGTGAGGAAGAACACACAGAAGCTGCCAAAATGGGAAGGACTGAGGAGTACCTCTCACACATGCATGGGCTAATGTGGCTATGATGACCATCTGCTCCATCCAAGAAGCCACACAGATGTCAGAGAAACTCACTGTTTATTAAAATGTGTTGTGATCAAATGTAATTAAATTTTTCATTCTAGTAGTAGATCAAAGTGCTCTACAAGCAGGTGATCAAGTTTAAAAATAATAGATGATTTTCTTCAAGTAATGTTACTGTTTGGTAACCGCAATATAAGAGGAAAACAAATAATGAAAGTTAAGAGTATTAATTAAACTCCTCTGAGCAAAATAGATCAATGTGAAAAGGTTCGAAGATGTCTTTCAAAATAAAGATAAAGCTTAAGAGTTTATAGCACTTGTATTCCCATCTTGTCTCCAGGTACTAACCAGAGTTCTGAGATCAAACCAGCTGAGAGGTCCTGACAGCCAAGCCTCTGTTTATCCATTATTATTGGAGAATCCTTTCCAATAATAAGGCCCAGTTAAAGTTTTCTATCATTCTATTCAACTCAATAAATGAAGAATTTTTTTTGTTAGATTTATTCTTTTGTCATTCAGGGTGCTTTTATGTGAAATGTTCATCACAGAGAAACTTACTGACTCAGATTTTTTTTTTACAGTGATGGGAACCAGGTGTTGCTATGTCTTTATCACAAGTCTAGCCATTTCATTTACTATCCAAATTGACCAGTGAACCTACACGTCTTCTGAGTAATGTTGAAAATGTTGAAATAGTGGTAAATCTGGAAAAATGCTTTCATTTGAGAACTAGTGTGCCCTAGAACATCCTGCATATATCTTTCCTCCATTAATGGCTTTTAAGAAATATGTCTCAGGCCAAAAGCTTATCTTCAAACTATGCTTCAACAATGTATCAGGCATCAGGCAGCATATTCATAACCATTTAAAGTAATAACTTGGTTCGTCATAGCTTTTAGAGGCATTAAGATGTCTTTTTAGGCACTTCAGATGTCTGGTTCATATCACCACCAATGTGAAGAATTCTGACTTGCTACATTTCTCTAGAATGGAGCATTTCGCATGAAACCACTTTTGAATGACTTTGTTTACATCACTGCCCAGTGGTCACCAGCCCTCCTCCTGAAGATTTACATTTATGCAGAGTTTAGTTACAACCTGCATCTTACATGCTCCCCTCCCCTTACCTAACACAAGAAGTTATTTGAGCAGGTGTAGCAGATCAGGGTTGGAATAAGACTCTGCAAGAGGGGAGATCTCCAGGACCGGAGTTGGTGAGTACTAGTCATTTTCATAAGCAGAAATTTTGAAAAATCAATGGAATTCACCTTTAAATATTCATCATACGAATGTTGGTACATACATGCTTCAAATAAGCTAACACGCCTGCTCATTGAAGGGATATTGCATGAAAGTGTAGCATTTAATACTATTATTATTTATTGCCAGTGTTATTTTTCTTTATTTTTTATTTTTTTTAACTGTATGCAATATCTGAGCTCATGAGTAGCTTTTACTCTGACGTACTGTGCAAAATGCATCTTTGCTAGTACCTATTGTACCACCAAAGATACATTCTCTGCTAGACAACAAAGCACTTTTGTAAGTCGCTCTGGATAAGTGCTGTAAATGTAAATGTTGTAAATGTAATAGCTTACTCATTATTACAACATATCTAATATGACAATGCATTTCTGAAGTAAAACTTCACTGCTGACAAGTGTAATCTCTGGCCGTTATAAGACAACAATAAATCATCCTGAACATGTTTAACGAGATTTGAACGACAGCCATATGCACTGTCATTTTCGTGTTACCGTCATGCTCACTTCACAATTTGTTCATGAGTCACTGTGACTTGCTCCGTCCCTTTAAGGAATCCACGCCCACGTGACTTTCGGTAGCCTATCAGATCTACACCTGTGGCCAGTAGCCTATTAACAACGAGCAGCAACTCTGTAAACAAAGCAGCGCCTTCCTACCCCGGCAACGTCTTTGCTGTTGTTTTAAATAGAACCCGATGATTTTATTCATTTGTCAGCACATGGGATCGAAGCCTCACCTTCACCAAAACACTACGAGTTCTTGACTTTTTGAAGAGCAACGTGCGCTGAGTCTTACGTGGACAGATTTTGCAGAATGAAGCCGAGAAAAGTTCGTACCGTTGTCTTAAGCATTGAGCAGTCCGAGGGAGTCGGCGCAAGAGTTCGCAGGAGCATCGGGCGAAAAGAAGTACTTTTTTTTTACTACTTTTACTTGGAGTTTTCTGTACAGGCTAGACATTAAATGTCGATGACGTTTTGGGGGAGGAAGGCGGGATGACTGATTCGGGTGGGCCATTTGTTGTTAGGTGGAGTAAATAGAAAGGTGAGCGCACTATGCCTGTCTTTCTTTACTCTGTAGGGATATATTAAGTTCTGTCTGCTCTTCTTAGCTGAAGAATTTGGATCCGTTTCTGATGCTGGATGAGTTCCGCGTTAGTAAGCCGGCAGGCTTTCCTGATCACCCTCACCGCGGATTTGAGACGGTAAGTACGTCTTCTTCACCCTGAAACACTGAACAGTTTTAGCGCTTTGTCTCTGGAGCGGTGAACATTTTAATGTTTTGTGGACATGACAGTTTGCCATGCCTTCCTTTCATTTCGCGTCGGTCACGTGTGGCCGTTGCCTGGCTCACTCATTGTGACTCAGCAGTCGTGAGGGCGTGCGTGTCCACTTACAGCCTCGAGAGGGCGCAAAGGAAGTGCAAACGGAAATGTTTCATTATCATCACAAACTTCTTCTAGGGGACGAAGGGATGGAGGAAATGTCAGTCAGTGATAAAGCTTTTTCTATTGCATAAAAAAGCTTTGAGTTTGTGATTTATTTTTGATAATGTGACTAATTTATGAAGAGAGTTTGTGCAGTAAAACAGACACTCGAACTCGAATGTAAGTAAAATTCTGGAATTCTCAACCAATCTAGATGGCAAATGTAAAATTCTAAGATTGAGCGCTTACTACACAGTTATTCTCAGCGGTTTGTGCATACTGTGTGCATCTTCATTCTTACTTAACCTTTCCATTATGTTAGCAAATTGGTTACATCATTAGCCACGTTTACATGCAGCCTGATAATCCGTTAATAATCCGACTAATAGCTCAATCGGAATAGAATACGTCCATGTAAACACCTCAATCGGAATAGTCTAATCCGATTGAGGCCATTCGGAATACAATTTCTATCCGATTAAACAAGGTGGGTAAACTTCTAAATAATTCGTTAAATAGAAGAATAATAGCCATGTAAACGCCTGAATCCGATTACATTCCAATCGGAACGTGTAAGTATGTTCTGCGCATGTGCGTCGCGTCACGGCGAAAGTTTACACCGCTCAACATGGCGGAGCAGAAACTGGTCTGGACTTCACGTGATGTTCGCTGTCATGGTAACGTTTACTCTAAGCGCTACTCCACGCATGCGCGTCATTTTGCATCGGATTACTTGTAGTGAGCATGTAAACGAAGATTTTCCATCAGATTGTTGAATAGAGTGCATATAAACACCTCAGTCTAAATCTGTAATCGGATTGTATTCAATCGGATTGGCAAAAATCGTTGCATGTAAACATAGCCATTGATTTGTACGGGTCAGTTTTGGCCCTCTATGGTTAAATCAGCTCGAAACAGTCCTAGAACATATGTTACAATTTTATTTGACCCTATTTTTCAGCTACTTTACGCATCAGCAACTTAGAGATTAACGTATTTAACTGTTTTATTGTTCATAATTACCTTATTTACCTTAGGATTCATTCAAGTTACAGGTCAAAATGAAGCCTTATGTTACAAATAAAAGCAAAAACCAAAGTTTTATTAATTTATCCTGAAGAAATCTTTGGTACTTGTCACTGTTACTCTTGTGGGCTCTGGTGTCAGTCTGATTGCATTTTGAGGTGCCATTCTACTACATGCTATTTAGACATTTTTTGAGATTAATGCCTCCCTTAAAGCATTTTCTCTCCACATCAGTTTCCATATCTGAGGATGATTCTTCATGCTCTGAATGATTTCAACATTGATTCAGATGCCTCTTCTTCTATTTCTCTATCAGCATCTTATAAATCATGGCCAAACATGAGAAGTTTGTGTGTGTGTATGTGTGTGTGTGTGTGTGTGTGTGTGTGTGTGTATGTGTGTGTGTGTGTGTGTGTGTGTATGTGTGTGTGTGTATGCATGCGTACATGCTTGTCTTGCTGTCCTTCTAATGACCACTTGTCCTCACAATAATAGGACATGATAATTTTGCACAAGTAAGGAAATTTTGCTGGTTGTCACTTTAGCATGTGCTGGTTTCACCACAAATTCATTTTTTTTGAAAAAACTAAAAGAGCAGAAAGATTGCCTTTTGGATACTGAGGTTAAGGATAGCAGTAGGTTTAGGTGTAGGTGTAGTCTAACGTGACAGAAATCAATAGAAATCAAAGGAAGTCCTCACAAATAATTTAAGACAAACATGTATGAGTGTGTTTTTCCCCAGTTTCCCCTGCATTCTCGATTGCCATTTTGAACTAGAGGGTCAAATTTGACCCTGAACATATCTTTGATGTTGTCGATAAAGAGGAATTCCACAGATGTTTCAGCATGCCTGCATCATGCAAATGCTGAGATGTAAACAGACTGGCCATATTTCAGTTTTCAAAAATTTTTTTAAAAGGGGCACACTGTAGAAAGCAAATGTCAACATCAAAACAAAGCCAAATTCTGGACATTGTAGGCAATTTAGAGACCCCAACCATACATGTTTTTTAGGTCCCAAAGAGAGGTCAAATGTCCTGGGCAAAGAGATCATATGGGCACCCTAGATGTAAATGAAGTAACATGGTAAAGTGGTTTTATTTGGTGGTGATAGGAACTAAGGTTCACAATGTCTCAACACAAGTAGCATTTTATTCTCTTTTATTTTAGCACTTTTTTTCTTTGCAAAATGACCAGTGAAAATGACCAAAATGACATTTTCTTTGGGTACTCTAACACCCTGCAAGTACCTCTCTGCCATGAAAAGATTTAAAAAATGTGTTTTAGGCCAAAAATGAAAAAACCACAATGTCTCAGGCATAATGTATGCAGAGTTTAATGTATTAAACTCTTTAGACATCTGGTTCCTGTTACCTCCATTGTGAACGATTCTGATTCAGTAAGTCTCTCTAGAATAGAGAATTTCACATCAGACCACTCTGAATGAGTTTGTTTGCCTCTTAACCATTTCTATTTTTAACCATAATTATTTTTAATTTAGTAAAATACCAATTTAATCTGGCATTTAAGCGAGCATGGAACTTCAGACGGACTATAATCATGATTTTTTAAAACACGCTGTGTTGCAGCTTAGTTTATTTATCTACACTACATGAACTGGTGAGTGCACAGTATGTGTTAGAGACATTTAACATTTGCATAGTACATCAGACACTTTTATTACAAAATAAAAGCAAGAAATATTTGTTTTTCCATTATATGGTTCTTTTAAAATTCTGGAATTTCCCAAATAAGATAACTCTCAAGGCTTAAAGGTAGTTCTAATTTTCTTTTTTCCTTTACTGTGGAATTTCAAACTTTTGTTGTAAGTCAGTAAGCCTTTGTCTCAGGTGTTAAAGACGGAGAACCTTGTGTTACAGTCCTTTTAGTCAGTATAGTAAGTTAGGTTAAAGGAGGCAGACAGTGTGCCAGTGGTAGACTCTTGTTATAAGTCATTATACACTCCTTAAAAAGATGGTTATTCAAGGGTTCTTTTGTAAAGACAATGGTTCTATATAGACACATATAGACACACATTCGCCATCAATCTGAGGAACCATTTCACCATGCAAAGAACCATTTAAGCATGCAATTGGTTTTATGAATGTTCATGGTTCTATACAGAACCATTGTCTTTAAAGAACCCTTGAAGAACCATCCTTTTGAAAAGTGCACCTCATGGCTGGTGCAAATATTAAATGTTTGTTCTAAGCTTTCTAAGTTTCAAATATTTAAAATGCAGGTCAAAGCTCTTTACAGTGTGACCTAAAAACAACAGAGAAAGAAAATAAAGTACAGGTCGTGACATGGAATCAGCAAACAATAAGATGCAACAAATAAAAGCAGGAACATCTTTTGAATATCTGGAACTACAAATTCAAGTATATTCAAAGAAAGTACTGTAAGCTAACTGCTGAAATCTGTGGAGAACATCAGGATTATGATTGGCTGTAACACAATGACAATTTACTTTTTTCCCACTAGCCTGCCTGTGGTACACCACAGAGAATATCCTGCTTGTCTGAGACATATTCACTAAATCTGTTCATCAAGTTAAATACAGAGAGTGCGCTGGTGAGAAGCTTAAGCATATCTTGTAGATTGTACTCTTCTCTTATAAGCATTACTAGAGTAGCTTCTTGCAGCAGTCCCATGATGCTGAGAGGCACAGGTGTGTTTGGTCTTGAGCGGTCGTATGACCTCAAAATCACAGCTGTGTGGAGAGATCACAGGCAGCTCCCGGATGGAGGTCAGCAGGGCCTCCGGGGGACAGATGTTGACTTCTGACCCAACCTCCCATGTGTCCTGTGAAGGCCTATATTCAATTTCACTGATTCTTTCCTGAAACTTTGCAATATGGAATAGGATACAGGTTTAAACTATTGAATTGCTTCTTATCATGTGATGTTCTGAGCTTCATGTATAAATTTTTAATGTTTTATGTTTCCAGTTTGTCCTTTTGAAATACTTTTTTGTGTCTACTTTAGCTTTTTTTCTTTTAGTCTCTTTTACTGAAGCAGCCTTTGAAATATGGTTCACCTTTCCCCTAAAACAAAACAACTTGGCCTGTTTGCCATGGTTTAAAGCACAAAGAAATAAAATGATTTTTCCATGCTCAAGTATTTATTGCACAATTTCTCTCTTTTACAAGCTGTTCTTTCTCCAGCAATAGAAAAGCAAAATGTTTATTGAATGCTCCTCTTTGCTTTAAGATAAGTTAGTTTAGTGAGTTGTAGATTGCGTTTTGTGCTTAGGGCCATTATAATTAATGCCTTTGTCCTCTTTACAGGTAACGTACCTCCTAAGCGGTGCATCGGCTCACGAGGATTTCTGCGGCCACTCTGGGAAACTGGAGGCTGGGGATTTGCAGGTAGCCCACCCAATGGAGCTAGACCAAAGCCTATGTAAACTTGTCTCATTTAAAATGGATCTTTGGCTTTGCTTACCAAAACAGATAAATCCATCAGGAAGGCTCTGAAATTAAATGCATAGTATTATAGTGTGTAAAATTAAAGTCAGCTTGCCAAAGTTTTTATACTTTACTCATTTGCAAACCCTACAAAACAATCCATTATTGTCTCACATGTACGACGTTATGTGCACACTTCACACACACAGCCTAATAGGAGATCACACTTGTGGGACATTTCCTGTGTTTCCAGTGTCGTAAAGCTGTCTCTCTCTTTCCTGGGTTAGTGAGGGTATGCTCCCTTATGGGCCTTTGATATATTTGTAGCCCTTAGGGCCTTGGCTTTCCTTTGGATAATCCTGCCCCCCCCATCTCTGTTGGGCTCCCTCCTCCTGTCAGGCACTTAGCAGCACTCAGCTAACTTCAAGAGCAGAGAAGAAGAAGGAGTTAAGAAAGTTGCTGACTGAGTTTCTCTCCATAACTCAAACCATTGTGTCTTCCTCCACAATGCTCCAGCTTTGTGAGCATGAATGGAAATTTCCAGCAAAAAAGAGAAATAAAATGAGAGAGAGAGGCCCTGAAGGCACAAAGGCACATTAAGCTGTGGTTGTAAAACTCCAGTGGTTCATTTTACACTGAAGTAAGTTAAACCCCATAGACCCACGTTTTGTTAGACGTAAAGATTACGTTTGCCATCATTTGGTACTTTGTAAAAAGCTCAGCCCAAGCAGTTGTGGAGGAGTTTTATTGGGGATTACTGTAAGTGTAATAGCATTTTCTGTGTTATATTGGCTGAGCTGTGCTTCAGGTTATGGGCCTGTTAATATGTCACTGAAATAACTCAAGTGGTCACTATTGAAATGGAACAGAATAAAAAAAATTCACTTTAGATGAATAACTTGAAAGCTACACTGTGTCATTCTCAACTCTGATACTTTTAAAGTCTAATTGTAAGCCCAGTTGCATGTGTGTGTGTGTGTGTGCATGTGGTGGTGGCAGTGGATGACCGCAGGACGTGGGGTGGTCCACGCAGAAATGCCCATGTCAGATGAGCCCATATACGGCCTGCAGCTTTGGGTGAACCTGCGGAAGGTGGATAAGATGGTGGAGCCCCAGTACCAGGAACTGAAGAATCAACAGGTTCCCAAGCCCAGCAAAGATGGGGTGACTGTTGCTGTGATATCGGGAGAGGCGCTTGGTGTGAAGGTGAGGATGGAACTGCCAAGGTGGCCTCAAGATGTCTGATCCTAGTTTACAATCACTATTTTCAAAGTAATTTAGCTCAAGACTAGACCTAATCTGGGTCCGGAAACCCAGCCCTTAATGTCCCAGTCAAGCACTCCCGTCTGATTTAGAGTGTGATCTTCAAGTTCATCTCACAAATCACAGCCATAAGGACATCCTTGGCCTCCCGATTATCAGACGAAATCAGGAAATTGGGAGCAGACTTTGGTGGAAGAGAGGTTTTAATGTTTTAAATGTGAACTGTGGCTGAGTTTGGTTGCTTGAGGGCAGAAAAGAGTGGAGTTGACCCAGTACTTGAGTTTAATGTAGGTCAGCCAACCAGCTGTTGACTGAAACCAGACGCTTGCTGTTCCTCTTTGTTAGCACATGTGTTGAAGAATGGTACAAGTTGTTTTATGTTGTCAGACCGTAAGAAAAATAAAAAAAACAGTGAAGAATTGAAAGTAAGACGCAAACCACTGGAGCCACAGTAGCTTTTGAGGTTGTAATTTGTTTAAGAAAAAACAGTGTGGTTGAACAAGATGTATATTTTGCTCTTTCTGTTTTCAGTCAAAGATTTATACCAGAACTCCAACAACTTATCTTGACTTCAGACTGAAGGAAGGTGCAAAACATGTGCAACCAATACCCTCAGGTAAGAACTGGGGTCCTTTCCTATTGAGAGACATTTGAGTATCAAAAATGTATCAAAAAGGTTATGACTGTATTGGTGCTGACTGTACCTGTCTTCACTGAGCTTTGTGGTAAAGTAAAAATGAGACAGCTCACAAAGCAGGTTGTTCATCATAAATTCCTCTTGTCTTGTTTGGCAGTACCTTCACACAGCTGTGAAGAGGTTTGTGAACCCTTTTGGAATTATCTGGACATTGGTATTAACAGCTCCTAAAATGATGTATACATAGGAGTGGACAATATGATGTTATTTGTTATCATGATATTTATTGTTGTGTCACAATATGCTTTTAACATGGACAGCACCGTACAGCTACAAATGCATGTTTCATTACAAAGAGGGCATAATTAGGCCTGTTAAATTGGATTTACAACCCCATTTCCAAAAAAAGTTGGGATGCTGTGCAGAATGTAAATAAAAATAGAATGCAATAATATGAAAATCATGTAAACCATATTTTTAAAGGGAAATACTACAAAGACAACATATCAAGTGTTGAAACTGAGAAATGTTATTGTTTTTTGAAAAATAAATGAATTTTTGAATTTGATACCAACAACACGTTCCAAAAATGTTGGGACGGGGGGGCATGTTTACCACTGTGTTTCATCACCTCTTCTTTTAACTGCACTCTGTAAGCATTTTGGAACTGAGGAGACCGATTGCTGTAGTTTTGAAAATGAAATGTTTTCCCGTTCTTGTTTGATATAGGATTTTAGCTGCCCAACAGTTTGGGGTCTCCTTTGTCATATTTTTCATTTCACAATACAGCAGATGTTTTCAGTGGTGACAGGTCTGGACTGCAGGCAGGTCAGTTTAGCACCCAGAGTTTTTCAATACGGAGCAATGCTGTTGTAGTACATGCAGAATGTGGTTTGACATTGTCTTGCTGAAATGATCAAGGCCTTCCCTCAAAAAGATGCTGTCTGGATGGCAGCATATGTTGCCAAAACATGTATATATCATTCAGCATTAATGGAGCCTTCACAGATGTGCATGTCACCCATGCTATGCACACTAATGCACCTCTATACCATCATAAATACTCACTTTTGAACTGGGCACTGATAACAAGCTGAGTGGTTTTAGCCCGGAGGACACAGTGTCCATGATTCTCAAAAAGAATTTCAAAATTTGATTCGTCAGACCACAGGACACTTTTCCACTTTCCCTCAGTCCATTTTAAATGAGCTTAGGCCCAGAGAAGGTGGCAGCATTCCTGGATCCTGTTTATATGTGGTTTGTTCTTTGTGTTTTAGAGTTTTAACTTGTATTTGTGGATGCAGCGATGAACTGTTTTCATAGAGAGTGCTTCTGAGCCCATGCAGTGATTTCCACTACAGAATCATGTCTGTTTTTAATGCAGTGCCGCCTTAGGGCCCAATGATCATAGCCAGAAAATACTGTTTTTTGGCCTTGTCCTTTACATACAAAGATGTTCTTCATTTTCTATTAATCTTTTAATGACATTATGTACCGTAGATGATGAAAAGCAAAAGTTCTTTGTTGTTTCACGTTGAGAAATGTTATTCTTGAATTGTTGCACAATTTGCTCTTGCAGTCTTTCACAGAGTGGTGAACCCCCTCACCATCACCCCTACTTCTGAAAGACTCAGCCTCTCTGGGATGCTTTTTTATACTCGGTCATGTTACTGACCTGTTGTCAATCAACCACCAGGTGTTTTAGAATTACTTTATCAGTCTTTTGTTGCCCCTGTCCCAACGTTTTTGGAACATGTTGTTGGCAGCAAATTCAAAATGGGCAAATATTTTGTGAAAAACAAAAAAATTTCTCAGTTTCAGTTGCCTTTGTACTATTTTCAATAAATATAGGGTTTAAATGATTTGCACATCATTGCATTTTGTTTTTATTTACATTTTGCACAGCATGGGGTTGTAGTTCAGCACAGTATGTGAAACAGCAAATAAAAGAGGTGTGGTCATGCAACATGAAAAGCAGGATTAAATTAACAATAGAGAGCCTCAGCACCATTAAAGTGCTGTGGCAAGATCTGAAACAGGATATTTAAGCTTGACATCCCAGAAATGTACATAAACTAAAGCAGTTCATCATAGTAATGTGTCAGTGTGACTGCTAAAAGCTGTGTAGGACTGATCAGCAGTTATGGAAAGCAGTCGGTTTAGGTAATTGCTAAAAGTCCCACTACTTACTAACCAAAAAAATCTGTATATTTTGACCTTGATTGTCCATCATTGCCTTGATTGTTTAAATTATTTGCAAGTAATGATATAGGGTTTACAAATATTTCTCACAACTGTGGGATCATTTAAAAAAAAAAAAAAATTAAATACCAAACACAATGTTTGCTTGAAAACAGCATGTTTGTTTTACATTTGAATGAGAATAAGGTTGGTCATGTAAGCATTCTTACTGCTCTATGTGCCCAGAATAATTTCCTTGCTATCTTCGGTAAGTCTGTCTTACAAAAACAAGTATTCCTCACGCCAGCTTTCACATTTAGACAGTGAACAAAACCTCTGTAAACAAGTGAGTAGCTGTCCTATGTTGTGGTTTCGTTTTCCCACAAATTTCCACAGTGTTTGTGGAATGAGTAAGAGTAAGAACCTTCCTCATGGAGACCTTGAAACAGATAGCATTGTGTCATTTATGAAAGTTTGGGGTATTAGTCATATTGCTCATATGCCTTTGATTATAGTATTTACCGTAACCACAAAGTCCTTCATAGGAACTAGTTTTGCACCAGAGGTAAGACTGGCCAAAATAAATTGCACATGTGAACACTGACGTTTATGACCATTCACCATTCACAAAAGCAAAACAAATAGATTGTTTTCAAACTTCAATCAGGGTGGAGGAAACAGTGGTACAGTTAGATTTACTAACAGTAAACAATCATGTTTAGGCCTGTTACAGTGTTACAGTTTTGTGGTTAATCAAGGTGCATGGTTAAACAACCATAGCTTTTTGGCTTGTGCAATTGTGCATGTTGTGATGGGGTGAAGGGCAAGAAAGACAAAACAGTATACAAATAAAGAAGTTAGCTAGCCTTCAGATCTTTTTATAACATTACACTACAACCCCATTTCCAAAGAAGTTGGGACACAGAGCAAAATGTAAATAAAAACAGAATACAGTGATGCGCAAACCATTTAAATGCTATATTTAATTGAAAATAGAACAAAGACAACATATCAAATGTTGAAAGTCAAAAATGTTATTTTATTTTTTTTAATATTTGCCCATTTTAAATTGATGACACCTATGCCATGTACAATAATGTACACCAATAGCATCATAGATGCTGGCTGAACTTTATTGTTTTATTGTTTAAGCCGGATGGTGCCTCTTTTCTTTAGTCCAGAGGACATGGTGTCCATGATTTCTAAAAAGAATTTCAAATTTTGATTCGTCGGACCACTGGAGACTTTACCACTTCGCCTCAGTTCATCTTAAATGAGAAGGCGGCGGCGTTTCTGGATCTTGTTTATATATGGTTTCTTTGTGTGGTAGAATTTTAACTTGCGTTTGTGGATGCAGTGATGAACCGTGTTCACAAACAGTGGTTTTTGGAAGTGCTCCTGAGCCCATGCAGTGATTTCCACTACAGAATCGTTTTATATGCAGTGCCTTTTGAGGGCCTGAAGATCACGGCCAGCTAATTAGTTTTTCAGTCATGACCTTTGCATACAGAGATTTCTCCAGATTCTCTGAATCTTTCAATGTAATATACAGTAGATGATGAAATCCACAAGTTCTTTGCTATTTTACATTGAGAAATGTTATTCTTGAATTGTTGCTCTATTTGTTCATGCAGTCTTTTACAGAGTGGTGAACCCCTCCTCATCTTTACATCTGAAAGACTCAGATTTATATAGTAAGTTATGTATAGTATAAAAATTGTTAGGGTTTGGTAGGGTTAGAGTAACTTTCTGGTGAGACAAATCAGACATCCTCACAAGCCAACTTTGTCCTGGTGCCCCAGTTTGGGCAGTCCTTGCACAAGAACTTTTTTGCATTTCTCTACATGAACCGACAGCTACCAAATGTACGGTATCGCTGATTATAAATAAGAACCTCAATTCCAAAACAGTTTTCGATATGTAAAATGCAAATAAAAACAGAAAGAATTTTGTAAATCTGCATTAACTTGTGTTTAAAAGAAAACAGCACAAAGACAAGATACTTATTACCTGCAACACATTCTGAAAAAAAATGTTGAGATGGGGCAGCTTAAAGCTAAGAACATTGTGGACTGTTAAAAAAAATCTTAAAAGGCTAATGCAGTTATGGTTAAGTACAAAGGGATCATCCAGGAAAGACTTGGTCTTTATGAGCAAAAAAGCGTTGAGGCTTGTACTTTGGCACAAAATGCCAGCCAATAATCCAACAGTTTAAAACCATTTTCCTCAATGTGGGATTTCAAGGATTGTAAGTATTTCAACCTCTTTGGTGCAAAACATCATCAAAGGATTCAGGAAATCTGAAGAAATCTCTGTGCATAAAGGGAAGGGCCGAAAACAACTGAATGCCTGTGACCTTTGATCCACCTTTAATTACAGATCGAAGCGTTTCTGTGATGGATATCGCCACACAAGTTCAGGAATACTTTGACAAATCCATAGAGAACCACACACAATGCATTTCTCATCAGTCTGAAGAGCAATTTCACTATGCAAAGAACTGTTTGAGCATGCAAATGATTCCTTGGGTGTTCTATGCAGAACCACTGTTTTAACAACGAAAACAAAACAACAAATTTTCTTTTCTTTTCACTAAATTATCATATGGTGAAAATGTCAAACTAACATCCCTAATGATGTCTTTTGATCTGTATGTACTTTTTGTACGTATTTTAGTTGAGCTGCTGTTATTATTCAAGATACTGTCATTCAAAATGCATCTAGATTTTAATGCCCTTATTGTAGGCCTTTTCAGTTGTGGTATTGTAACCTTATTGCTACTGTAGTACTAAAACCTGACCAGACGTGTCAGATGTGAATATGCATTCACTGATCAGTGATCTTCCTGGTTTGATTTAAGATTCCTGAAGCTTAAGTCAGTATAATTTTGTTTTGATCAACACCAGGCTACCTGTTCAGTGAGCCAAAGGCTTGAATAGTTAGCATAACACTCTTGCATCTAAGCCAGGCCTTTTCACTATACATCTCAGTATGTCAGCGCTTTGGTTTGCACTTTAGATTATGTAATATTTTATCACCCATAAATTGCCTGATTCTGTCCATGTGGACCTTAGGATTCTTTCACATCCAGTGCCAGTGATGTTTTGGAGAACACTGAATCACTAAATTCTTTTTTTCTAGTATGAGGCTCTTAGTGGCAAATAAATTACACAGGGACTCATGGTTTTAACGGTGTCAGGGTGGTGTGTAATGTGTGTGAACATTATGTCAGCGTGAAGGTGATCAGAGAATGACCTCAGAACAGTTTCATTTTGTCAAAATTGGAGGAGTTTAGAAGACTCTATAATAAAGCAATTAAAGCATGGAAGGATGCATGTTACAGTGATTTACTTGGTTTTAATGGGTGTGGTTAAGCATGATGCAATGCAGAAGAATTAAAATCCCATGACTATTCCACGAACAGGATGGACAGCATAATGGTTTAACTTGCTACATTAATACAGAATTCAATTGATGTGTGTGGTCTAGGGCTGGCCAGTAGAGCATTTTACAGGCTTGGAATACTCGATGATACAGTCATATGCAAAAGTTTGGTCAGATTACATGTTTTGTTGATTTTGAAAATAAGTTAACACATATTTATGTCGCTTTTCTACAGCTTTTTGAGCACAATTTTTATTTGATGAGTATAACATATTGGAAAAAAAACTTAAAATATACAAAGTGCCATAACTTTTGCGCAAGACACATTTTATGTATTATTGTTTTTTCAAACTGGTAATTTCAGCAATTAAATGGTAATTGTGTGTTTAAATGTGCAGAACTGTGTTCTCTGTAAAGGATGTGTACTTATAAAATCAACAAAAAAATATAGTTTGACCAGGGAGTGCTCAAACATTTGCATATGACTGTATTTCCGAACAAGTACTCGAATAATCATTGTCAAAATCACACTTAAGAACAATTAAATTTCAAGCGTTTTTGGTTATCTGTCTTGGGGAACAGATTCCATTTTATTCAGTATATCAGTTCACATCGGCAGCACTAGTTGCGTGTTACATATGCCAAAACACAAGCCAATTTTACTTTTCATTAGTGTCAGTGAAGTGATAACTCCATACACATCCACTTAACTCACAAACTCCCATTTTTTATAGTGTTCTAAACTGTTTTGAAAGTAACAGTTTACTAAAATGTGATGATCGTACTGGTGTGGAAGTTACAGAGGTGCTCCTTTTACTGCAGTGGTGTAATGTGTGGAGGCTCCACTGTGTGATTGTGATTTTGTTGCAATAAACAGACCTGCGGTCAAGTTTTAAACCTGCTATAAAACTGTTTAATTAGAAAAGGAGAAGAAAAGCTAGTAGTGGTTTCGACCTGAGTTGGATGTAGTGTGCATTGGACGCATAGTGGTACTTGGATTAGGATCAATTTTGATGTGTTGAACTGAACCAGCTATAATTTGATTCTTCTGAACATTTTCCATGTGATAACAATCACTATGCTATGTAAAGGCCTTTGCTTAATTATAAATAGAGAAAAGAATTCCAATGTAACAAATGAGTGCTCAAGTATTTCGCCTAATGTGGTCATATTTGTATATTGAATATTTTACAATGGCTTTCGAACGTTGCTCAGCCAATCAGATTTTAGTACAGTAACTATTTGTTTAAGGTTTTGTTTAGCAGGGACAGTATGCTAATGCATTGGTCACAGTACTGATGACTTTTTATAAGGAGCTTTTCTTTGATTTTTGGATAATCCACATGTATTTGGGATATATTTGGTTTCCTCTGTTCTTCTTTCCAGGTTGGACTGCTTTTATCTACACTCTCTCGGGATTCTTGCACACGGGTAAGCACAAGCTTCCTTCAGTATTACCAAACATGTGGAACAGACACAAGGAAACTTTTGTGTAAATCCTAGAATATACAGACGCTGGCGCCTCTTTTTTCTTTCTTTTTTTTTTTTCTGGAATTCCGGTATCAGGGCCTCATCTTCTCTGGAAGTTTGAGCAGGTGCTTTGAATTGATTATTTTCCACTTCCTCTTTCTCTCTTGGACTCAACACAGGCACATCAGGGGCGCTTCTGTGATCTTACTCCAATGGCAACACTGCACCCATGGCTTGAAGAGCAGCATTACAATAGCAGTGTTTGAAGTGTTGATTTATTGAGTTGGTTTTGATGATTTCCAGCTTGGAGGTGGATTTATACATGGTCATTAGCTGATATATTTTCCAACTTGAAGAGTCGGCCGAAATCTTTCTACCAGTGCTTCTCTTGAACTCTGTCCAGCATCCTTTAGAGATTGCATAATGAATTTATAAACCAGCCAATGTCTGTTAAAGGTTGTTCTAGTGTAACTTACTTGAACATGGGGTGAGTGGGGAACATGGAATGAGTGATATAGCAAAAATATTACATCATGATTCTTTAAGACATTTTTATGGTACATGATATGCATCATGATATTTAGTTTATCTAGATTTAGTAAGTTGGAACAGACAAAATAGAAACTATAGTACTACATGTATTATGGTAATAATAAACTAACTGAAGTGATTTTTTTATTCACTGCTTTACAAACTAAACTGGATACTGCTAAGTCTAATTAAACAGGCCTAGCTATGCTCACTTTATAATGAAAAATGTAATTTGTCAGTGTTCTTTCAGTACTAATTATATCCACGACATGCTCAGAAATGCGAATGTGACATTCTATTCCAATCATTTCCTTGTCAAGCTTAATGCAACGGCCGTTGCAGAGATCTTTCACAAGAACTGTCTTACTGGTTGCTGTAGTGTCATATTACAGACTCTAATCCATGATAAACAACGATGAAGAACTGTAAACTTCTCTTGTGCTTCCCGGGGGACGTGTTATTGTTGTCAGTGAGGCAGATGTACGGTTAGTGCAGTTTTGAGTTTGGTTCTGCATGTTTAGACACATTCAGAGTTGCGTTTTGACTGCAGGGAGTGTCAAGGGCATTGTGACATGTTGCTTCCAGGTAACTGAACTGCATCATCTTTTAAACAGATGAATTTCAGCCATGCATAAGGAAAGATCTGTTTAGTTCATTCATAAACTTAAGGGCTCTTTCTGTTCTCCATCTGATGCTAAACATTCACCCTAGGGCTGTCAGTATCAAGTGTATGAAATATTTAGCAAATTGAACTCAAGTAGATCTCTTATAGAGGTTATTGTAGAATTCCATTAAAGAATTACGTACCCTTTTCCCTGTAATGTACTTTAGGTACGTAACTGTTTACAGATGACTTGGGACATGGAAAAACTGAAGTTGCTTTGGTCTGAAAGTTGTATTGTTTCAAGAAACCACCACATTAACATTCAACCCCAAACAAAGTACACAGCTGTGTTCGATAAAGGCATCTCCCAATTCATTCAACATCTGAGAAATGACTGAAAACATGTATCGGAGTCTATATCAAAGGGAAATATTTGCACTTAGCAGATATTTGTTTGTTGGCCAGACATTCTTCAAACTGGTTGTGGTTTGTGGATGATTTGGTCCCAACAAACATCTACCGCACCAGTGCTGGTCATTCATAACCCATTTTATCTGCAACTTTATGTAATTGTAGAATTGAAATGTCATGTGTGGATGATTTCAAATGCAAATATATGTTTTCAATGTTAAACTTGCTCTCTTAGGGCCAGATGAAGATCTGAAGAAGATAGAGCCTCACCACACTGTGGTTTTGGAGGATGGTGACTGTGTCAGAGTGGAAAATCAGGTAAAAATGCAATATATTGTAATATGCTTTGGACTTTTAGCTACATTTTAGCTCACAGTGTTCATGATTTCTGCACAAACCCATGTCTTTTCTTTCCAGTCATCTGAAGAGGCACACTTTGTGCTGATTGCAGGAGAACCCATCAATGAACCAGTTGTCCAGCATGGTAGGCTCTGTTCCACCATACATTATGTACACATCCTTCATATACGTATAAAAACACAATAATTGGATCTTCATTGTTAAATCAACATTGAATGTCATAATTTTATGCTGTGTAATAAGTGTGATATAAATTTATTATTGGTATAGTGTGGTGTGCTTGCCCAGGAAGGGAGAATGTGGTCTGCCCCATGGAGGGCAGTGTTAGCCACTTTGCCATACCAACCGTTGACACTGATGTTGGATGAGAAGGCCTGGCTCACAATCGACCTTGCAATTCATCCCAAAGGTCTTAAAAGGGGTTGAGGTCAGGGGTCTGGGCAGGCCACTGGAGTTCCTCCACACCAAACTCATCTCACCATATCTTTATGGACCTTTAAGGTCATGCTGGAACAGAAAATGGCCTTCCACAAACAGTTGCCACAAAGTTGGAAGCATATAATTAAATGTGTGTGTATGCTGTAACATTAACATTACTCTTCACTGGCATAGCCTAAACCCCGAAAAACAGCCCCAGACCATCATCCTTCCTCCACCAAACTTTTGGAGTTGGCACTATGAGTTCCAATAGGTAGCGTTCTACTAGCATCCACCAAACCCATAGTGAAGTAATTAATCACTCCAGTGAACATGTTTCCGCTGCTCCAGAGTCTAGTGGCAGCATGCTTTACACCACTCCAGCTGACGCTTGGCATTGTGCCGAGTAGTCTTAGACTTGTTTCCAGCTGCTCGGCCGTAGAAACCCAGTTTGGAAACTCCCAATGCGCAGTTGTTCTGCTGATGTTGCTTTCAGAGGAATGCAGTGAATGATTCAGCAGATGATAAGCTGATGTCGATGAGCTGTTGTTGCTCCTTCCCTTTTACAATAATAGCACCTACTGTGCCAGGGCAGATCTAGCAGAGCAGAAATCTTTCGAACTGACGTGTGGCAAAGGTGGCATGACAGTGCCATGTTTAAAGTCACTGAGCTCTTCAGTTCTTTCAGTGTTTATCTATGGAGATTACATGACTTTGTGCCTGTTTTTATATACATGTTAGCAATGAGTGTGGCTGAAACACCTGAACTCAGTAATTAGGTATCCACATACTTTTGGCCATATAGTGTATATATGGATTTTTGCATCTGGAAATTACTGTTGTTGTCTGTCAACCAAAGAACTGTCTGTACCAGTAAAGCAGGCTGGCTGGAAAATGAGAAGAAATCAATTATTTCCTACACTGTTATACAAGAACAGAAAGGCTGGGTTTACAATTTCTATAAAAAAAATACTTCACCTCATATGAAAAGATGGTGGCATGGGGTTGAATAGCTGTCTCACTTGTCTTTACTGAGACTTGAGTGCTGATAAAGTAAGGTGAAGACTACAGTAAGATGAATTCTGAAGCAAAAAAAAAATATTTTAACTGCTGTGAGCCCAGCAAGTAACTCAAAACTCAGTGGTGCAACAATTTGCAGCGGAACCTGAAAGACTATTGAGTTTTTCGGTGCCAGAAATTGGAATGTTTAGTTACGCAGCCTGAACCCCACTGAGCATTTCACTTATTGAAGCCAAGACTGAAGGCAGAAAGCCCTCAAAACAAGCAGGAACGGAACATTGCTGCACTACATGCATGGGAGTGCCAGGGAATTCATGCAGCATCTGTGGATCCATTTGTGCAACCAACTATGTAAACAATTTGATGTTACTTTGTCCAGTTACTTTTGGTCAGTGGCATATGTTAGTGAAGAGGTTCTTTATGGTGTAAATCTCGTTTGAGTTAAAGCTAAACATTCTGCACTTTAAAACCCAGTGTGCTGGAGTAACGAGCCAAATATTGTACATTTTTGCCCAGTTACTCACAGACTGAAGTGCATGTACCTGTATGTCAGTATGCAGTCAGTGTAGTTCTGTAATAACCCATAGCTGTCTCTCCCCACTGCAGGCCCTTTTGTGATGACCACAGAGGAGGAGATAGAGCAGACCATCAGGGACTTCAGAACAGGCACCAATGGATTTGAGAGGGCCAAACACTGGCAATCAAAAATACAACATCTTTAATCTGTTCCTATCTATTCCAGATGTATACAAGTGTATGTCTCTTGAATGACATGATTTTTAATGGCTTTATAAATCTGATGTAATTTTGGTGTTTGAAATGTACTTTGTATTAGATTCAGCTATAAGCTATTTGTATTAGATTGAGTTATGAGCAACTTTTATTTATTTAGTTTGACTTTTCTGTTCACCGTTGTCTTTGAAGTGGTTGGTTAACAGTTAATTGTACTTGCTTTGAAGGTAATTATTATTACAGTAAATACCCCATTTCCCATAAATGACCAAGCTGTTTGGAATCTCTTTTTGTAATCATTTTCAATTGTGGGATAAATGTTCTTAAGAAGCATTTAAGGTGAAGCAGTCGAGCTGCTCCACTTACAAGCCATAAAAGTGCATCAAAACCTCCTCCAATTTTCATCTCATATTTCAAAATCGTTTTAGGGGGCTGCCTCAGGATGACATCACACACATAACGTGCCACACTATGCACAAACACACCCTGCAAAAAATGAGTCAGGCTTGCCCCGCTCATTCCCCACCCCCTTTCATTGCGCAGCAGTGTTGCGTTTGGGTGGGATGTGGACTTCAGCCAGTGTCTCCCATTCCTTCTCCTCTCCTCCACCCCACCCCCCAACATCACCTCATCCCCCTCCCTCTCGGCTTGCCCTGCGCGGCGGTCTGGATCGCATTTAAAACCACATGTTCCTGCGGGTGAGGAGCCGAGCAGAGGAGGCTGCAGGCTCGGACAGCAGTGGAACGGGACGGGTCGAAACAGAACAGACATGACAGCCTGCCTTTCTACCACCAGTACACATACAGCTGCAGACTGGAGGATCTGAGCTCTGTCTGGGATTGCTCTCCATTCATCTCTCGCTCTCAGGATATCCCAAGAAGTTGGGCCAGGGTTGCCATGTCTAACACCAGTGCCAGATCCAGGCTGAAGAACTGATTTCTCCCCAGACAGAGTGCTGAAACTGCCCAGACGTGTTTTGTGTTTTGTTTTGTTTTTAAAAGGGAAACCTCCATTTGGCTCTTAAGGTGTCTGCTTTCTCCGTGGGAACTGTCTGACTCGTGTGCGTGTGCGTGTTTGTGTGTGTGAGAGAGAGAGTTATAGTGACTGCGTGTATGTGTGTGGTCTTGGAGAACTCCTCAAGGAGCATTGCACCGTGTTCGTTTACTCGTGCGTGTTGTAAGGGCTGGCTCTTCACAGTAACCGATCTGCAGACTGAACCCCGGAGACACGATTGCACAATGAGGACTCTGCTTTCGATTGGGCTTCACACACTGCTGCTTCTGTATGTCAGACTGATGCTGGCTAAGGACACCCTGGCTTCCGTCAGAGTGAGTAACTCTTACCCCAGTGTACATCCAGCCAAGTCTTACCACAGCAGGCTCCTGCAATGGGCAAGAGCTACCGCTGCCTACTCACTGATAAGAATGTGTACTCCAGTGCTGACCAGTGTCAGTACTACTGCATGCCGTAAGTTAGCATTCAGAACATACTGTGGAAGTGGCGTGATTTGCCCCGCCCTGCGCACTGACACGATTACAGGTGTGTAGATTATTTCCGTTAATGTTGTCACGTGGAAAATCAGGCCAGATATCATAGAAGCTGGGTCCAAAATGATTGGTTATATCCTGTAATACTGCACCTATGTGGATAGACCGGATGAAACCAATGCTCTGAATTTGAAGAAACCTGTAGTATCTGAATTGGAGCTTACGGATCATCTACTTATTTCTGTCTTTTTTGGTTTTGTAATTAAAAAAAAAATCTTTAGGTAATATTAGTGTTAATGACAGAAATAAAGCTGTGCTGGCAGTTTAAGACTCTCTTTATCATATTTAGTTTGGCATAGTCCTCTGCCCTCTGACTGAGGCTTGCTGTGCTATTATTCCAAACCATATTATAGAGCACTTTTAAGATTTTTTTTTTCATGATGTTGTTGGGAGTGGGCTTTACACATCCAAAACTATCAATGCTATATTAGATTAATACCACCTTTATTAGAGTAATAAAAAGTGTTTTCTATTATACGTCAGCTGTTACTCATTTCAAAAACTTACAAATGGGTGTAGGTCATTTTAAAATGAAACTTTACATTTATTGAAATTAGCACTCAAGAACTGCATGCATGATGCAACCCAGAAATGAACTCTCTTGGGAGGGTTCTGCTGGAAGCTGAAGGCTTCATTCTTATATGTTCTTGTGCTTATTGTTGTGATGTCAGCCTATCAATGTGTGTAAGTAGCTGTAGGCCTATTATCTGTGTGTGTGTGTGTGTGTGTGTGTGTGTGTGTGTGTGTGTGTGTGTCTGTGTGTGTGGTTGTATGTGTGTACATGCTCCTCAGTAAGGTTTTACGCAAACATGTTGTCATGAGGGGAGGGGCAAAAGAGCGTAATAATTGATAAGCCATTACAGATCCATTCCATAAAGGGCCTGTTTGTGTACGTGTGTGGCCCAAGCCCAGAATGCTACCAGAGATCTAAAGCTTTCTTTTTATCTCTCTCTCTCTCTTTCGCTCTCACTCACTCTACATGACCCACCCTTCTTGCCATTAGTGGTCTCCACCTAAATTACTTGTCAGGGCAACTCCCAGCCGTTCTTCCTTTCTATCTTTCCTCCTTTCCTTGTTTCTTTTCTTTTTTCCATTTGCCTGTTATGCTGTTTCATTCACTCCTCTCTCACTCCTTCCTCCTGTTTTCGTTCCTTTCTTCTTTCTCTATAGTCCCCTTTCCCTTCTATTTTCCTCTGTCTCTCTCTTTTTCCTCTCTTCAACACTCTCTCTCTCTAATAACCCCTCTCCAATCTCTCTCCTTCCTCCTATTTACTTCCTCTCTAGTCTTCTCTTCCTCTTTTATTTCTCTGTCTCTCTTTCCACTCATCTCTTATCAGCCCTCTCTCCTCTCTCTTTCCTGTTTTTGCTCCTCTCTCTGTTTTCTGTCCAGCCCTCTCTCTGTCCTCTGTCTAGGCCCCTCTCTCTCTCTCTCTTTTTCTTTCTACTTCTGTCTGTTCAGCCCCCTTTCTCTCTTCCTCTCTCTCAGCAACTCTTTTTACTCTCTTTCTCCAGCCCCCTCTCTTTGCCTCTTTCATCTCTCTCTCTCTCTTTCTTTCTTTCCCCCTCATTGCCTCATAGTGTAAAGGGTGCAGCAGTCTGCTCCACCCTGCCATATTGAGCCGATCATAGCAGCCCCGCCACAGCAGGATGAGGGTTCACACAGCTCTACTATCGCACGGCAGGCTCCCCCCACCCACACCTCAGCTGCTTCACTAGTCGCTCGTGGCTTTCCTGCCTCACACATGCGTGACTGTAGCTCTCAGCCCTGATTCTTCTCCCTCAGATACGCCCAGCGTGTAGTAAACATTTGAAAACAGGCCATTGTTATTTGCCCTCTAAATTGGACGACAGACATATGAAGCCATATGTGGCAGATGGTATTGATTGAGAAGGGAAAGAGAGCTTGGGCCTGGTGGTTTTTGAGAGGTCATGGGGTGACATGAGGTTGGTGCTGGTGCCACCTGTAGATTTTTGGACAGTTCATTTCAAAGAGCCAGTGGCGTTTTGGCATTTAAAGAGTTGAGTGATGTCTATGGTCCAAAGACATGACACTAGAGCAGGGATTTTAATGACATGTTCCAGTGTCTTTAACCCGATCTCTGCCTGCCACATCTGTATAATGTTGTCACTTACCATGAACGATCACAACAATGCATTTTCTTATACTTAGACCAGAAAACTCAACTATCTGAACGCTGGCCCATATAATCAGGTGATTGTGAGTTCAGTTCTTGGTGATGCCACAGCCATCTGTGAGAACACAACTTGCTGTGCTCTCTCAGGGTGGGTGGGATGCCCCTCCTTCTCCCTACATCACTCAGTGCAATACTAGCCAACTGTTAAGCCCATTTCACTCCAGATGCAGTAACAGTGCCATGAGAAAATACACTCCTGTATTATTCATTGTAACTGTTCACACCAGCCATGTGCATCACATAGCATTTAAAGTGCAAAAATATGCTTTGGATCTATTTTTGATGCATGAGGTGTGCATACTTCTCTCTGTTGATCTATAATCACTGTAGAAATAGTAAAATGATCGCATACCTATAACGTTCCATAACATAGTAAGAAAGCTAACAACGGTCACTGCAACAAGTCACGTTTTCATTATGGGAAAATGCAACACAAACCGCTCAATGTATCTGTGTCGCGTCCGGTGTGCAATAAGCATGTCGGAGTGATTCCAGCTTACCATGCACGTTACACCACATCTGTTGTGAAATTAACTTTAGCTACTGTAACAAAACTGGCACTTAGAATTCTCCTCCAAGCATACTGTGCTGTCCACTGACATTCAAAAAATGTGGTGGCTGACTTCAATTGTCTTGGAGGAAGTATGTGCTAGCTTTAACCCTCCGAGTTTGGTAGCATCATATGACTGGGGGAGACCTAACCTGCTGGTGGAATTGGGAGTGACTAAATTGGGGAGAAAATGTATTAAAAATCCAAAAATTAAAAAAATAAAAAGACCAGAAACCCCATTGGACACAAAATTCAGTTTTAATGGAAGCCATTGGGCAGCTGCTGAATTTGTAAATATTTTTTTAAAATATGTGACAAAAAAACGCAAATTCAAAACAACAACATTTAAACAACATTTAAATAAATACTTCTAAACACATTCACAACTTAACTTGCAAAAGCGTTTGACTGAAGAATTCATGAAAATGTTTTGCAAAAGTTATGTGTTTTGCCTAAACATTTACTGACCGAAGCAACCACTGAATGGCTTCTGATGTGAGTTTTGAGTCAAAGGAGTTTCTTGTTCTTTTCTAAAATTATTGGCCATTGTATTCACGATACGTTACAGATGCAACATAAAATGGCTTGAGTTTTTCTTCAAGAGTTGAAAATCCTAAATTTATGTAAGATGTGGGTTAAGGTCGAAGTTTAGCCTTGTCATTTATATACTTGATTCTAACCTTGCAATGAACTTTTACACTAAGGCTGAATCTCAAATAGGTAGGTAGCTTGATAGAACATTATTGATCCCGAAGAAAATTGCAACGTTACAGTAGCGAAACATGTAATTGCACATAAACTTACATATATTAGTTTTAAATAAAAATACACATAAATTAGGTGAAAGAAAAATAAAATGACATAGCGTATTTACCCATGAGAGCAGGTAGTGCCCTAAATGATATGAGGTAGTTTAAATCACAATAAGTATAAACATAACGAGGAGTGGCAGCAGTATTTACAGTCTAAAGTGTGTAGTGAAAGTATCATTAAAGTAGCAGATTATGATGTATTGCACAGTATGTATTAACAAAAGAGGTGAAATAGTGATGTGAATCAGCACCATTCAGGTAGCAGGAGATCATGTCTTCCTACTCTCTACACTGTGCCCTACATAGGCAAATGAAACTATGGCTTTCTATACCCAAATAGTACACTAAATGTTAGACAGTGAGTTTGAATATAAATGGCTTTCTATTAGACATATAATGCACTATTTGGTTGGCGAAGACCTTATTGCACAATGAACACTGCACAACTTAGCGAGCAGAGAGCCATTTAAATTTAATTAGGTTCGATTCTAGTCAAGATTTATTTATATAGAGCGTTTTACAACAGGCATTGTCACAAGGCAGCTTTACAGAAAATCTGGGTCCAAGCCTCATGGGCAACAATGGCAAGGAAAAACACCCTCAGAGGAAGAAACGTTGAGAGCAACTGAGACCCTATTCTCGCGTCGACACCAGATAGTAAAACAATAACACAAGAGCAATACAAATAAAGACTCAAGATTTCACAATGAATATATAATAGTGAATGTAGAAATAAAAATATTCAGCCGGTCATTCGACAAAGTAATTTAGATTAACCAATAAAAGCCGATAACTACTGTTAGAGACCAAGCAAATGAGAAATGTCTCTATGAAAACCAAACACTGTGACTGACTAGTAACACTGTTATTGTTGCTGTTACAGTCACTGTTACTGACTACAACTGGAGGCCTATCAGAGTAACAATGGAGAGGTATATCTATGAAAACCAGTCACTGTTACTGACTAGTAACAATATTACAGTGTTACCATCACAATTACTGTTACTGTCACTGACTGCTGTTAATAAGAAATAGATCAGTGAAAACCAGTGATTACTGTTACAAGCACATCACAGTGAAAATGAAAATTTAGAGCCAGTCTTGAGAACAGTGTAGGATGAATATGTGAGGAAGTATAATATGAGGCAGGTGGACAATGTTTATGATTGAATAGTCCATGCAGACACCGGTATCATTAGGAAGGTGAATGGGCATGCAGGGGGCTCCATGGTGGTCTTTGAGATTCAGTCTGACATTTTTCTGTTTTATGGAGTGAGGTTCTTGCTTGTCAATAAAGGCCCCAACCTGGAGATTGCAGTACTATGTTCTGACCCCATAGTCTGCAGCCAGCCGGCTCACTTCATTGACCACTCACCAAGATAACAACCGTTCTCAGGTTAACCAAGTTTTATCTTTGTCATTTGTCCTTAAATTGGCTGCATTACCACATCAGCTTCAAAAGAGTGTTGTTCACTCAGTATTTTATTGGACCACAACACTGCACTGTTTAGTGCTGTCCTTGAGCCAACATACATAATTTTTCCCTAAGCCTTCAGTTGGCCTATTTAGTTGTTGTAGTGGTTGGAGGAGAGGAATACTATGTTGTAGCTGAGTGAAGAACAATGTTTTAAAGAAGGACCAGCTGTCCTTCTCTTTATTCTTTTCTGGCTAAGAGTGCTGCTGACTTTCTAAATGATTACTCTCCATTTGTTAGTAGGAGATGAGTGTTAATGACATGTGGGATTTGTGAAAGCATAGAAGATCTCTATTCATATTGTATTGCTGGCTAATTTCCCAACCAGCATTCCCTGAGTTCTGCATATTAGACTTTCTCAAACTTCTAAACAGGTGGTCCATGGGAAATACAGTCCACACACTGAGCTAATACATTCATGTTCCAACATGGATTGCATGGTCCAGCTGTCTAGGGTGGGCTGCTCCCAGGGGATGCTGTGTGTGTGTGTGTGTGTGTTGCTCCAGATGCTGGCCAGTGTAGGAACGGGTAGGAAACGATCAAACTGAGCTGATCTAACTCATAACTGATGACAGAGACAGAGTAGCTGCAGAAACAGCTGCAGCTGGTTCTTGGTGCACTACAGATTCACTGTCCAGCATTACAGTGCTAACAGAATCTAGCACTGAATGACAACTACAATGAATCATATGCTGTGGCTTTTACATTTCTGGCCAGAAATCACTACATAAAGATGTCAGAAAGGTTTTTTGGAACAGTGCCATGGAATAACTACTTGTGGTTCCCTAAAGAGCTTTTCAGTGGATGGAAGAAGCATGTTAACCCTACACATTGTAAAGCAAGCGTCACCAAATACATTTGATCTGGGGCCAAATTCTTGCAGAACAAATATTTTTTTGGGAAATTGCAACACATTTCATCATGCATCATTTGAATATATATTGTTATTTGATGGTATATTCCTCTTCTTCTTCTTCTTCTTTTTCTTGTTCTTATTTTTCCACCACTAACTCATCCCACAGTTTCAGCGAAATTGACACTGTGACACTCCAGAATGTTTGGTCTGATTTAGAATGGTGTGCCTGTATACAGCTTTTTGATCGGACTAACAATTTTCGTACTATTATTGTTAAATGATGATCTTTTCTGTCGTAAGAATAAATGGGGTGCAAAAGTTTGTGCACCCAACTTATGTTATGTTGATACAAGTCCATTAGTAACACCCAATTAATCATGTGGAGAACCATAGCAACCACCTAGCAACACCCTAGCAATCACCTGGGATACCATAGCAACCTTATACCTTATCAACCCCTTTGCAACCACCTAAAATAATATAGTCACTGTTCGGCACACCCTAGCAACCACCTGGGAACTGCTAAAGCTGTGCAGTCACGCTGCATTTTCTTCAGGAAATGCACTTTTCCTTTTTTAAAATGATCATTCATAACCGTTTTAGCAATTCAAGTAACTCTCTGATTACCAATGAAAGAACCTAACACTCATAACACATATTGCATATCAGCTAGCAAAAATGTCTGTGAAAATTGATGTTATGAACTGGCATTTCAATAAAGAATAGACTAAAAAATATGTGTTTACAAAGTCACTGTTCCTTAATCCTTAGCCCATTTATTTATAATGGCAATAGTGCATCAAGGGGGCAATAATAGCTTTACTCACTCTTCTATCTCATGAAAATATACACTCTTTTCTTTATAGATAGTTTTAGAACAGGGGTCTCCAAGCTTATCTGCAAAGGGCCGACGTGGCTGCAGGTTTTCATTCCAACCAAGCAGGAGCACACCTCAAATAACCTATCAGTTGTTTGAAGCATAAAACCAACTGATTCAACAAGTGGGATCAGATGTACTCCTGCTTGATTTGAGTAAAAACCTGGGGTTAGAGTCAAAGGCTTTTTCGCAAAATTGTATGTCAAATTTAGGAACCTTAATTTTTAAGATTGAACCAACCGAGGCTTTTAAATACAATACATTAACTGAAGCATACAGTGATTAAAAATCCTGACTTGATGTTTAACACAATACCTCGCTCATGCAGTAAAATCTCCTCAAGGCCTCTGAAGGCAATAGTGAATGAACACAATGACTAATGGAATTTCACTCATGAATCTGGAGGTCGATGATGGGGGTCTGTGAAGTTATGCTGCCCTCTTGTGGTGAGAATATGTACTTGTAATTTCAAGCAGCAGTATTTTTCTCTTCGGTTCTGCAGTGCTACGTCGTTTTTCGTGTTTTCTGATTATTTTTAGCATCATTGTCATCATCATCATCACTTTCTTACCACTCAGTCTTTGCAGCCAAGAAGTATTTAGGAACACTAATTGATTTAAAGTTGAGTTTTTAAGTGGTACAGAGTTAATTTGTACAAAAGCTAACCAACAGCTGTATTACTTGGGAAACTGATAGGGCTTGGGGTCAGTATGGACATTTTACAAAACGTCAGTCTGGAATTCTGGTATGGTAAGTGCAGTACAGAAAGCTTTAATTAAAATTGAAGTGGAAAAGTAATTGGTAAACAGCAAAGTTGTCTGAACTGTATGCCAGCCATCCATTTAAAACTGACTTTTTCAAAATTTCTGCATAATTAAATGGTTAAGATGTAAACAAAGTCATTCAGCATGGTTTGATGTGAAATGCTCCATACTAGAGAAGCTTACTGAGCCAGAATTGTTCACAGTGGTGGTGATAGGAACCAGATGTCTGAGAAGTTTAACGCCTCTAAAAGCTTCCTCACAGAAAGTTATTACATGAAATTGTTACAAATACACTGCATGTGGCCTGAGACAGTGTTTATGGTACTTTTGATAAGATTTAAAATAAAGAAGATAAAAGATTTTGGCCTAAAATGTTTTTTTTTTATTTGTTCATGGTGGAGAGGACATTATGAGGCAAAATGGGCCCCCCAAAATTATTATTTTTTTTTTTTTTCAAATTTTCCACTATTTTACCATTATCAACATTACACATAAAACTCAGAAGACACGTGTAGGTTCACTGGTGGTTTTGGATAGTAAATGAAATGGCTATATTTGTAGACATTGCAGCCCCCTGATTCTTATCACCACCACTATAAAGAAATCTAAGGCAGTCAGTTTCTCTATAATAAACTGTTTCACACCAAAGTCTGAATGACTTTGTTTACAACCCAATGATCAAATTATACATATAGATATTTTGAAAAATTGGTGGAACTCCCCTTTAACAAGGAGTGTCTCTCTTATGGCCAATGTTTTAGAGCACTAGCAGTCAAAAGTAATCTCTACAAGAGATCTTTTGTTTTATCTGCCATTCATTTTAGATGATTCAATATATACTTATTGTGGGTGACTGATTGTGTATATGACTTCTAGATGATTTATTATTCTATTCTACTCTATCACTGTTTTACTCTGCAGATAAACCAGGAGAAGTGGGAGAGGGACATTAGGTCAGCTGCCAGTTTGGACGAGTTGCTTATGCTGACTGACTTCCCAGACTGGAAGCTGTGGAGGTGTCGTCTAAAGCTGAAGCACATTGACTCCACCTCCCTCCCTGAGTTCCGATCAGCATCAGCGGGATCACACAGATCCACTCGCTTTGCTGCCAATTCATACAGCCTGGAAATACTCAAAGGTAGTTGTGCCAGATAAAGAGTACACAGACGCGCACACATATACATTCCTTAGACATAGTCTAGTAACAGTCCAGCCCTGCAAGGCCACACACATAGTGGCTGTGTTGCATAGTTCTGCTTTGCAAAAGAAGAGACAGGAAATTTTGATTTAAGGACACAGAAAAAGCAAAATGTTAGCAAGTCCCATAAAGACTTAAACATGGTGTCCAACTGGGTTCTTTCCAAGCCACAGCTCTTCCAAATTATTCTGAATGCTTGAAGGCCTTGTTAAGTACACTGGAAAAAGACTGCTTTAAATTTACTTGATTCAGCTATGTACATTGGTTCTGCATGAATGAAATACATTACAGGAATGCAATGTGTTGGTCTTACTTTTAACAAGAATTGTGTTAATGTACTGTACTGTATTCATGTAGAACCAATAAACACATTTGAATAAAGTAAATTCAAAGCGACCCTTTTAAGTTTAGCTGATATGTTGAATTGTGCTTAAGATATTAAAGATTTTGCTAAACTGTTGAAGCTTTGTGGCACATTTAGACTGTTTTTGCACAGCTGAGGCAGGCTTACTGCAATCTTTAATGATCAGTTACCAAAATAATTGAGTCAGTGTGTAAAATTGGTAGAGAGTCCCCAAAAGGTTGGAGCTGTAATTGTTAGCAAAGTTGTGTGTTCATGGTCATATTTAATTTCTCATCATTTTGTGTTTCCCAGCCATTGACGAGGAATGGCAAAAAACCCAGTGTATGCCCCGGGAGACGTGTGTTGATGTGGCCAAGGAACTGGGCACAACCACCGCCATGTTCTTCAAGCCCCCTTGCGTCTCTGTTTACAGGTGTAACGGCTGCTGCAACAAAGAGGGGGTCACCTGCCGTAACACTAGCACCACCTACGTTAATAAAACAGTACTGATTTACCCTTCTTAATTAGCTTTCTCACTTAATTACTTCCTTATCAGAGCCCTGGCCTATGGCGTGTGTAAAATAATCCACTGACTGAAATCATGCAAGATGTGATGTTGATCCAAAGACATTTGTGAGTTTGCATGGAAGACATAAATAATAATGCTGCGCTCAGGGCAACCGAACACTTGGGTTTTTCAAAATCTTAGCTTTCTACATCTCAAATGTTCATGCAATTTTGAACGCTATCATACCCAAACATCAACCCAAAAGGGTGCCTAAAAAGCATAAAACATGCTAATACTTCTTATTTTATTGGCAGCACAAGTCTAGAGTTCAGAGTAGTGCTCTTTTGAAACCCCAGCTTGCAGAATGCTAATTATGAGTCAGTCATGACTTTTATAGCTATTTTAAAAATATATATATTTTTTGGGGTATTCACACTGATTCCCAGAAATCTTACTTTATTTTAGCATTTCTGCTTTTTTATTAGGCCTGTTTAATGTTTCAACCCTACTACCGCCTCTATGAAGTTGGAACCGTCATAATATTATTATTATAAAATTTTTTAGACTCAGTAGCTCACAAATTTTTTGGTACACATTCCTTGCATATACACTAATTGTACATTTTATCAGGTCCACTCAGTCCATCAGTTTCTCTGCATATTTTGTCAGCCTTCATTTACCCTGTTCTTTAATGGTTAGGACCCCCACTGAGCATGGGTGGTGGATCATCCTCAGCACTGCAGTGACACTGACATGGTAGTGGCATGGTATTATGTGTAGTGCTGGCATGAGTGGATCAGACACAGCAATGCTGCTGGAGATTTTAAACAGTTTCTAAAAAACAGATTTTAAACAGATTTTAAAACGTTTCTGGCCACAGGATGGTGTATGCTGAATGTCACTACAGTGGTGGACCCGACCATTAATAAACAAGGTAAAGAGAGGCTAAAAATTATGCAGAGAAACAAATGGACTACAATCTGTACAGTACAACTTAATGGTAAGTGGACCTGATAAAATGGACCTCTTTGAGATAATTGGCACTGTAGCATTTTGAAGCCTTGCACTGTTTGTTAATTATAAGGCATTCTTCTGTGTAGTTAATTTAAGATTCTTCCACATTTCTATATTTGGGTGCACTTTGGGATTTCTAGTGATTGTTGGCCTTCTTCCCTGCAGCTCCTGAGCGTCATCCCATTTGAATACGGGCCGGAGCCGATACTGGTAAAAGTAGCCAATCACACGGAGTGTAAATGCCAGGAACCACAACTGATTCGGAGACATGTGCACCCCCACAGCAGTGGGTCAGTACCAGCACCATTATCTCAAAGAACATCACCTTACTTTGATCAGGGCATTGAAACCTTAGGGCTCAAAGTGTGCACAGTTCAGATCTTTTCCTTTTCCAACACAGTTAATTATCGTGTGTCTTAAATTGAATGCAGATAAATAATTAATTACTCTTTGTGGAGAAAAATGGGTGATGAAATTAGATCATAAAAGGGGAATAAATTCACTAGAACAATCCTAACAGAAAAACATGTGACCTTAGATGTAAACAAAAAATGCATGCAACCTTGGCAGCATAAAATTAAGCTGTTAACTGCCAAATAACATCTAAAAGAAGCAGGCAGCATATTACACATTTCAAAATTTTAAACACCTACATTTAAAATATATTTTAATAATATTGAAGTATTTGTGATAACATACATATGAATGTTGAAAGTTTGGTGATTTCACTACCATCTTGAATGTTTCAGTTGGTTTGTGCCTCAGCGCACTCTAAATTACACTGCATTGGTTAGGGAACACATTTGTCTCCTGCATTTTCTTGAGGGTAATGAGGAGTAGGACGTTACAATTCTATAGAACACATTCTGTAGTTGAACACCTATAAAATGGCTGAATCCCTGGTTAGTTTACTGATGAAGAACAATCATGGGGTTCTCCCCCATGGAAATTTGGCCTTTAGAGACTTTAATGACCACCATGGTAGTTTTATCCATATTTTTACATAATAAACTTCTATATGAATGCAAAGATTACAATATAATACATCAGATTATGTAGTTTGCTGCAGTATTATTGCAATAGTATTTAATATAAATTATTATCCACCAAATTGTGAAAATTATAGTTATATGCAAAAGTTTAAATACCCTGGTCAAATTAGATGTTTGTTCAGTTTGAGTTTGTTGTACAAACTTAAATTGAACAAACTTAAACAAAAAACTTTAAGTGCACACATTCTGTTTATTTGCTGGGTTTAACATAATGGGCCAAATCTCAATTATTTTATTTTCTATCATTAATTTTTCCCCCAACAATACATGTAATTTGATCTGTAGCCTTATGTCTGTGGCTTGTGGCTTGGTTTAAAAGGTTATAAAGTAATTAAATAAAATGGCATGATAGTCACTTTAGCCAATTTTCCTCCTCCAAAACAGATCTGACAATGGCAAGTGGACAAGGTAATTTTATTAATGTAGTATGTGGCTGAAAGACATCATCTGAGCGCCTCGTAGACCAATTAAGGAAGTTAACCTCCACAACCCAGTGTAATGTCCATGATCACTCAGAGCTTCATCTCTGAACACTGTGTATCTGTGTGTGTGAATTACAGGTGCTCCCCCATCCGACAGTTAGGCGACTCCAGGCGGCTTTGTGATCGAGGGTTGATATGGGACTGTATGGAGGGTCGTTGTGTGCCTTACCCTTCCAGTAACCAAGGTCAGTACAGTACGTGCCAAAAGCATCCAGCCTATTGAAATATTTTTGTCTAGGCTTGCCGCCCTCAAAGATTGGCCTTAAGACTCAAAAACTGGCCAAGGTCTCGCTTAAATATCCATATCTATGGTGCTGATTGAAGGCCACTGAAGTTATATCTCACTCCATTTGAATGTTAACAGTCCGTTATCCTTATGTCTGGACAGAAATTTCCCCCACCACTAAGGCAGAGGACTGTGAAATTGATGTAGAGCGTTGTGAATGTATTCCAAAAGAGACAACGCCCAAACAACAGTCTCCACTGTGTCCTTCAAACTACACCATGTGTGCAGCCAAAAGCAGACAATTCAACCAGACATAGTGCAGGTAACACATATATTTGCAGACTGCATTTTGTACCTGAATCTATGACTCATCCATATTCTGCTGTAAATCTAGAATGTTGAGAAAGCAGCATGGTGCATATTAACTGCTAAGTCTGTCACAACAATCCCCTGAGTGCAGTTATTTAAGCTGATCGCAGTTAATTTCCACACTTTAGCTTTCACAATTGTACATTTACTTCAAATAATGTCAATTGGATGGGTTTTTGTCCAAAGGGCTGAATGCATGTAGATAAAGGAAAACAGAAAACAAATTTAGACATGTCATGGGTCTTATGAGAACAAAAGTATTTACTTCTGAATTGGTGTTGTAACACCTTTAGAGCAGAGCAGTCAGTAATGTTCGCTTATGTAAACTCGAGCTGTATTTGTCCACAGATGCAAGTCTTGATGGTTGCTATCAACAGATTTATCTGTTTGGGAAGGGGTCAGAAACACAACCAATGTTAAAAAATGTTTTTCTGCATGTTGTGTCTACATTTCTACCAGTCAATCTTCCAAATTCCCACACCCCCAAATCTTACATAGTGCAACTTTAAATGAATTATTTATATTGCCAGCTAAAATTTAATGGTCATGATAAAACAATCTGAAAGTGACCTGCTTTGATCCCTCCAACAAATTGTAATAAATAGCAATACAACAAACTACATAGTAACTTATTGTAACTTATTTTGGCCGATACACACTTGTGGGATAAAGTGTTTTAATTATTCAGATAAAAGGTACATTTTAGCTCATCTCATCACGGTTTCTGTGCTAATCTTGTGTTTTCTTCACAGCTGAGCAAGAAAGCGAGGGCAGGTGCACATGACGAGCACAACCTCCTGACAGTCTGCTTCTGCTGGAGCAGGAAACAAAGATACATTCTTATTTATTTACGTTATTATTTATAACATTGCCTTATGTACACAAGTATGTAACATTTAACCCCATTCACACTATTAACATGACTGTGTTAATTTTTTTAACATGCAAAAAAACATTCCAGTTTAATCATGGTATGTAAATAATATGCCAAACATGTTCCTATGCACTGTGACTATAAAATATAACAATGCCTTACATTAAAGAGTGGTATACATTAAGTTATTGTTACAAAAATGTGTTTTTAAACACTTGACAACATACTTGCAGTAAACAGTGATTTAAAAAGCAATTCTTGCGGTAATTATATTATTTTATATATTGACATTAAGTGAGCCTTATTAGTCCCACAACAGGGAAATTTCACCTCCACATTTAATCCATCCATGCAGTGAAATACCACATACACACTAGGGGGCAGTGAACCTGGAGTGGTGGGCAGCCCTATCCACAGCGCTCGGGGAGCAGTTGTGGTTTAGGTGCCTTGCTCAAGGGTACTTCAGTCACATACTGTCAGCTCAGGGGATCGAACCGGCAACCTTCTAGTCACAAGGCTGGTTCCCTAATCCATATAAATGCATGCATGTGTATATATTCATGATTATTGGAATTCAACATTGTTTCAGTTTATTGTCATAAACTGTCATATTTATTTCTTATATTTGACTCACTATCATCTGAGTGAACTGCTGGAGGACTTGATAGATTTTAATATGACACTAATGTCATTCTAGAGCATTTGTTGGAGTTCAGCAACAGGACATCGGGCAAAGTAGGATAAATAAGTGTCATGCTCTATGAGTGACCAGAACCTATCAAATGTAACTATCATGAATAATTACCACAAGGGTGCTTGTCTTTGGGCATTTGTTTTCACTGGCCTAGCATCGTAGTTGTGGATGTGATCAAAATTTGAAATCGGTTTGAGACAACTGACAAATCAGAATGTCTTATACAGATATATAAAGAGGTATACTTAATTACAAAATTATATATAATTATTTGACAGATTGGGTTTTGAGTTTTGTCCCACTTGCTAGGAACATGCTATGAAAATTGGGACATGGTTTTCATGTAAAGCGGTATACTTTTAAAAGCCATTGTGTTCATTATCACATTTAGCAAGAGCTATGTATATACAAACATACTTAAGCCCGTTATGGAATAACCTGACTTAAATGAACTGGTAAAACCGAGGAAAAGGATATTCCATAACAGGCTTAATTATTATTAATGTTTTAAAAATGTTCACATTGCATCATATTTAGCACTATGACTCTTAAAGCAGAACATTCAGGGACAAGGCACAGAAGACAGAGAGTTAAAAAAGCCGTAAGGAAAAGGGCAATGTTGACATCATTAAAGAGTGGACAGAAGTAAGGGTCAGGGAGAAAGCCTCTGATGTGGTTTATGACAACTCACATAAACACGAGATATGTGCATATACAGATGGTTGACAAATTAAAGGAAAAAATAAACATACAGAGCAATTAGCAACCTACACTATGCTCTGTGGCATGTATAAAAATGCTAAGCAGGCACAGTTGCCCTTGATTTTGCATCAAGATTGGCAAGAGGTTGGTATAGTGTGGTAAGTAACACCTTTGCCTTCTACGCTGTAGACTGGGATTCAATCTCCCACCTGGGCCAGCACCCTACACTATATCAATAAGAGTCCCTGGGCAAGACTCCTAACACTACCTTCTCTACCTGTGTAAAATGCTCAAATTGTAAGTCGCTCTGGATAAGACTGTATGCCAAATGCTATTAATGTAAAATTAAAAAGTGACTTTGAAGGAGCATTCATTTTTGAGGCAGGATCTTCAGTTACAAAGACTGCTCAGTTAGCAACTGTGTCAATAAGAACAGTGACTAAAGTGAAATCTGGATTTAGATCTGTGGGAATTAGTAAATAGGGTTGGAAATTGTGGTCAAAAGCGTGCATTTGATGTCACAGATCCTTGTGTCTTAGTGTGACTGAGAATGTCAATGCAGGACTTGATCAGACTTTGGTAACATAGAGAGGAACATTATAGTAGGGTTGCAATGCATAAACACCTTGTTACAAAGACAAGTGGAAATTTGAGAGTATAGTGGTGCAAGAACAACTGGTCTGCAGAGATGTGGAAAAAGTGATACAGTCAAATGAGTCAACTTTTAGCATATTCTCCACAAGTAAGTGCATGTGTAGCATAAACCAAGAGAACAATGAATATTTGATAGCAGTGCCTTTATTGAGTAGAGACAGGTGAGATAGAACACAGAAAACAGAAAAGTGCACATATTATTGGGTTTATAAAATGAGGACTAAGACACACAGCTTTATAGCGTTTCACAGTTACATATTTTTAGGAATTTACATTTATTTGAACAAATCTATAGTCTTAATCTTAGTCTTGTAGATAGTTGATGTTTTTCTAATGGCATCATTTGTAGAAAGTGCTTTAGCATAGACCACAACAGGGTTAATTAATCTGAGATTTGTATGAGATTCTCATGGCCCACACAACTGACCACAAAAACTTCCCACAAGATTTCACCAGCCAGATCATTTAAAGTCATTGGCGTAGGAACCGGGTGGGGTGGATTCATTTCGGTACCCCTCCCAAAATTGGAAACAGTTGCATTTGTCCCACTCAAAAATCATTGAGGGTGAAAACACTGTAAGTTTTATTTTGAGAATGTGACACCAACGGTAGCATGTTTTGCCAGTTAATCAGACAACCTTTCCATTTCATAATATGTTGTGTGTTGGGCAGCACTGGGCCTTCTTTTAGCTTTTGTTAAGGCTCGTGTTGAGGTGCCTGTTCAAAAAAGAGGTTTTGCAAAAGAATGCGTGTCAAAATTGCTTCATCGGAGCGTCAGGTTGGTAGTGAATAGCTTTCAGCAGATTTGAACTCGAGGTCAGTAATGAGAGTACAATTAATAGCAATTATAACTATGAAAACAGCTTGTGTATAATATATATATATATAGTAGCAAATGTAAACATCAAGCTGTCTCAGAAAGCTCTTATAAAGTTCCAGCTCGTCAATGATGTGATAAAACTCTCCAAGCTTCTTTCACTTTCTTTTACAAATTCTGAGTGAGAAAGCAATAAATGGTCAAACAACTTCTTACTTGTTCCTTTCAGAAAACAGTCTAAAGTGCCCAACAGTAAATATGTTGTAGTAGTGTAAGCTAGCTAGCTAACTAGTGATTAGCCATATCTATGGCGATTAGCTACATTTGTAACAAACACAATATGATAAAGAAGCACAGGATTTAATTAAATGCAGAAAGTATTTTTTTTATTATTATTTAAACAGACAGTGTTTCTGTGATCATGACAAAATGAAGTTAGCCCAGCAGCTTCCCTGTAAAACACGCATGGTTGTTCCAGAGAAGATGAGCCAAAGGTGAGTTCACGAAAGTAGATTGGGGTTCCACCCAATAAACCATTTGTTCAGCAGTTTCCATATAAATTATTATATTTAAATATTTTTTCATATTTCAGTTTTTCTCTTTTACATTTCTCTCCAATTTCGCTGTTTTGAGCATAGACTAAGTTAATGTCTAATCCTTATTAAAGTACCACAAGACCGATGATTCAAAGCACATTTCCTTATGGTCAGCTGTTTAACCCTTAAATGTATACCAACCAATCTCATAAAGAATTACCACATAATAAATACATTATATTACTTTCTTTTTGGTGGGGGGGTGGAGTGCTGGGCACATTACTTTCAAATTTTGCCACTACACCCCTAGTAGATGGTCCAGCTTTGGGATCTTTCCTTTTGAAAGACCCTGTTTGTAACCATTTATGCATTATGGATGAATTCCTTACAAACAAAAAGAGAAACATTTTAGTTTGATTTGAACTGAAAATTAAATATGGCTTGCATTTTGCCAGACAAATGAGGTAAAAAAAAAACAAATAATTAAAAATCTGCCGTGGCCCCCTAGCAGGAGTAGTTTTAGACAAGTAGACAGTCCTGTTTATTTTTCTGTTGAATCTTGTTAACCTAGTAATTTGAGGGTTAATATCAAAGCATGTGTCTTATTGCATCCAGGAACACTTTGATCTTATAATCATGTTCAGTGGATCAGAACCTCTTAACATGTCTAAGGTCATATAGGGTCAAGACTAGCTTTCAGCCTCTGATTTTATGGAGCTGTGTACTAAAGTAACCTAAAGCAGTTTTCACAGCCATTTAGAAAAAAGAGCAAAAGACTTGACAGTAAAGGTTATTCTCAGCATACAGCAATTCTAGTGTGGATTCAAGTTGACATTCAGGTTGTTATTGGATAAAAACGCAGCCTCATTATTCTACTGAGCCTCTCACCGGCTGTGGCTTGATTTATTATAGCAGAGGTTGGCAGAGGATATGTTTTTTCCCCTTTCTCGTACAGTAAAAAAGTTATGAATTGAATTTATTTGATTGAAATGTGCACATTGTTTCCACAAAAACATACATAGATCAACACATCTGTTGCCAAGAGAAATACAAACTTGCATTGATTTAGTATATTTTATCCATGCAGAAATTATTTAAACAATTTGAACCAAACAATTTCTGTACGTCACAGTGTAAAATATGAAAATGTCCATGTGGTTGTGCTGCAATAGATTGATTTCAGACTGAGCCATCTCATGTCTACCTACGATTTTTAGGTCCAGAAAAAAGGACATTAAAGAATAGACTGTATGGGTGTTGCTCCATGGCTTGCTGAGCGAGCCATCTCCTTTTAAACACACTCTATACATTTAGACATAGAATGTATGAAGAAGTAAATAAAACATACATGCACTGAACGTGGTCTGTCTTGAAGGTCTCAGCGAGTGAATCATCTGTTTGAATGCACAGCCACAAAAACAAAAAGCAGGAGGGACAGAAAACAGGCCTTGGCAGGCTCTGCTGGTTGTGATATTACCAATATTGTTACAAACACATTTCATCAGGATCAGTCATTTTTAAAAAACAAGTAATATAACCTTTTCTGCTACAACTGGAATCAAACAGTTTGTTTCTTGCACTTACGGAACAACTCAACCAAAACTGGAAACTAGCAGTTGTAACTTTGCTAGAAAAGTCAGGCCTGTTGACTCAAACACAATGTTCAAAACCATTCTATGTATTCAAATTGGTTTTCCAACATAAATGGATAAAAATATCTAAAAATGAACACACTTTTGTTTTGTACACTTTTGTCCACAAGGTGGAACTGCAAATAATCA